AACAAATAAAAATAATTCAAATAATTTATATTAAAATAATAATTATTATTTAGAAACTAATACATACAAAAAGCAATTTACAATACAATGTTTGCTTTTTGAGGTAATAAGGTTTCACTTATAAATAAATAATAAATAATTAATGTAATATTATTTACAAATAAAAATATAATAATTATTGTTCGTATGTAAGTTATAATTTAATAAAATATATGTACAAAATATTTTCTGTGACTTCTAATCATTTTGTTTTTAAATATTTATATTTTTTTTATAAAAAATATAAAATTATTTATATAAACATTTTCATTGTATTATTATATAATAACAAAATTGAACATAATAGTTTTTTTTGAACAACTTTAATCTTTTGTATTTTTTTATGTTCTATATTTATAAATAAAAATAATGATGAATATAAAAATATGTATATTTTGATTAAAGTTTCGATTATTAATAATATTATTAATAATTATTAATAATATTTTGGAATAATATTATTGTGCACTTTCATAATTTGAAATTACAAAACAATTATATTCATTAGTCTTCATAATAAATACGAATCATAATTTATCATGTTTAGATATATTAAGAACAAAAAAAATTTGTATTGATTTTACTGAAAATATTGGAATTGCATTTTAATAAATATAATTATTAAAACAAATCCGATAATAAATCATCATCGCCGTAATCACTATAATCATCTGCTCCAGGTGGTACAAAAATTCCTCCGAGTATTCCAGAAAGATTTTCACCTAAACCCATTGTCGATGCAACTCCAAACACAAGTCTCATCATGAGTAATCTCATAAAATTCACTACATTCGTCTCTTTGCTTTGTAGAGATAACTGCGTTGTTTTCTTTCCTTTACCATCAACGCATCGAATCTGTCGAGTATTTTGAATATTTAAAAAAATCAATATAAATATCGTTATCAATATAAATATTTAATTAAAAATTTTATTATTATTAAATTCATAGAAGAAAAAAACATTCTTATAAATATTTTTATAAATAATTATTTGAAAATTTATTTTTATTATTTTTTTTACTAATATAGTTAACATATTTCTTCAAAGTTTTTGCTATTTTATAAAAGATATTTTTTTATGTAGAACTTAAAATTTGAAAAAGTTTAATATCATAAAAATCATTAAATCACCATTTATGTAATATATAAATATAAAATTTATGAATTATAAATTAACTTTTTATAATAAATTTTAAATATATTTTGCATCATATATAAAAATGTAAAATCATGTTTTTTTGTTATATAAATATAATTAATAAATAGTGAGATTTGCATATTAATACTATAATTAATTGTAATACATGAGTCTAGGATTTGAATATATTTGCATGTAACGTATTCGTTAATTTCAAATTTTAATCGAGTTCGCGCTTAATCAGTACTTACGCTGACACAAGCAATGACAATTATTGCTAAGGCGAGCGTAATTCTCATTTTGCACTTCCGATGCGTTAATCACTTCCGGCGAATATCTGTGGATGCTTTTGCGATCGTTGGTCACTCCTTTCCTCTTTATGTTCGTTTTGTTTCCCGCGATTTTTCTTACATCAATGGGACCGTTCCAACTGACCACGCAGAGTGAGCAACGAGAACTGAACTATGCTTACCTGGGAGAAACGCATTCAGTTTTTATTCTTGTTAAATATTGACACTAATAGAGCACAAGTTGTAATATACAATCGAACAGATGAACGATGAGGACAAAGTAAAATAAGTAGTACCTATGGTCGCAGAACTGAAGTTATTCTACGATAACGGTACATGACGAAAAAAGGCATCCAGGCCACCTCTCCAGGTTATGTGATACGTGCTTACGATACTATATGTATAATCGCAACTGTCAGAGGGTCTTTACTTATAGGAATTAAAATAAAAAATATTTCCTTTAATTATTATCTAATCAATAATTTAACTATTGTTTATTGAAGCGCTTATATTTTTTTTCTAAGTTAATTCTGAATTTTAAAATATCAAAGAAAAATGATTTTATGCAAAGTAAATATAAATTTATTATATGTTCATTATATATTACAAGAAGTATAATCTAAATCGATTATTTTATGATTATTTTATATAAAAAATGTAAAGTTTTTTTTGATAAATGATAAATTTACATGTTTAAAACAGTCAAGAAATATTGACATAAATTTTTGCTTCTCTTCTAATAGTAAAAGAAAATTTATTGATAATAACACAAAAGTATAATTAATATTTTATATTATTTTATTATTTATTTTTTGTATTACATACGTATGTATATTTATTTATTTATTTATATTCTATTTATATAAGTAAATATCATTCACTTATACACGAAACACAAAATAGATCTATCACCATAAACTAGCTTTCATTACCATTCAATGGTTCGCGATCGTTAAATTGTTCGTCAATCATTCAACATCGTAATGAGTCTCACATGTCGACTATTTAGGTTTGTCGGACAGAGAATAAGATTGATGAATGTTAATAAATTGTTTGTTAAAAATGCTACCTGTATACATTCATATATCAAATCTTAATGAACACTTTTTTTTTTTT